GCTGTTCAGCCTGGAGAAGAGAAGGCTCTGGGGTGACCTTAGAGCAGCTGCCAGTGCCTGGAGGGGCTACAGGAAGGATGGAGAGGGGCTTTTCACAAGGGTGTGTAGTGACAGGACAAGGGGGAACAGCTCTAAACTAAAAGAGGGCAGATTGAGATTAGATATTGGGAAGAAATTCTTCCCCATGAGGGTGGTAAGGCCGTGGCCCAGGCTGCCCAGAGAAGCTGTGGAGTCTCCTTCTCTGGAGATATTCAAGACCTGCCTGGACATAGCCCTGAGCAGCCTGCTCTGGGTGAGCCTGCTTTGGCAGGGGGTTGGACTGGGTGAGCTCCAGAGGGCCCTGCCAACCCCACCATGCTGGGGTTCTGCGATTCTGAAAAGCCATTCAGTCAAGAGTTCGTAACGCAGCAGCATTCTACAAGAATTTTCAGGGAGAGCTGCTTCTACTCACCAAGAGGAACATCCGCAGACATGCTGAGCGTCACTGTAGGTGACAGGGGAGTGGCTTTGGTAAAAAAGTTCAGGTACCTCAGAGCAAAGGTCAATTGGACTGGCTCATTCATCTCTATTGTAACCTAGAAAACCATCAGCCAGATTAGACCTCAATAAATGCAAGGAGTCCCCCCATCAAGCCTCTCAAATAATTCATCATTACAGCCCATGACACCTCATGCCAAGGCAGCCACGTCTGCTCCCCACCCTGTTCTGCTGAGCACTGCTTGTAGGCCCCAGCAGTAAGAGCCTAAAGCTGGCAATGATCTGCTGACTCTTATCTATAAACCAGAGAAACAGATGCCCCCATCACCCAGCTTTAGCCCCCAGCAGGCCAGAGGATTAGTCATAGTAGTAGGAACCTCAACACTGAAGGCACCACAGTAACCACGAAGGCTTAACTTACAGCTTCTTCTTCTTTATCCACGTTACTGGTCTGCGACAGCTTGATGTTTCCATTTCCCAGCTCTCCGTTAGCTGAGAATTTCACACCATCTTTCGCACAGGAGATGACAACTGCATCGCCGATGTGGCTGAGGTCCCTGCAGATGCGTGCGAACTCAGCAGAAGGCATTTTCACTACACAGCTATACTCTTGCTCCTGTGAAGGAAGTGTCACAATTAAACTTCTATCAAGAAGCCTGGTGTAGTCACTACACTTGAGTTTGTCTTTCCAAGGAAGTTACATCCCAAGCTCAGCCTCTAAATCTGATGTGAGCATGGGAAAATGTCTGTATCAAAGAGACAGCGCAGCTGTCACTCAAGCCATTACTCACTGGAATTCCAAGCTGCTCCACATCCAGGTCCATTAGCTTCATCTCATAATCAGAAACTTTTTCCTGATCTAAAGAAACAAAGCATAGTTTGACCGAGTGTTTCCAAGAAGTTATCATCCTGAATTTAACTTTTGTCCCTTTCCCTCCTCCACTTTAATTATGATCTGCCGCGTTTAGTTAGAGCTACAAATCTGAAAGCGACCCAAACAGACTTTTATAGGTTGTAAGAGGACAGCAACCTGCTAAGGGCTTCTGTTTGTGGCCTGAGGAGTTCTTTCTTTTGCCAATAAAGTATTTATGGAGGTTGCTAAGCTTACATCTCCAGGCTGTTTTTAGAGTTTAAGCCCCAGCTGCCCCACCCCATTTCTGATTTCCTCACACTTGTCTCCCCCCGTCACCCGCACGGTTATCCAGACCCTCAAACCCCTCCCAACAGCAAACCAGCCCCCAGCCCCAGCACTCACTGGGCGCCTCAAACACCAGAGCCAGCGTGTCCGCGTTGTCTTCCGCGCGCAGGGTGATGATGTCTTCGTTCCCGGCGCACTTCAGGATTTTTTACATGCTGGGGATGGGGGGGGGAACGAGAGGC